GTGCATCAGCATATAAAAGATAACCATCAAATTGAAAAGGTATCTTTATGTGAAAGGTTGTAACACTTAAAGAGGATGGATGCATCCATGTCTTTATATGATGGACTTCAAAAAATACAGATTACAATTGTTCTGGAACTCAATATTTTTGCTGGATATTGTGTTCAAGGGTTTGTTGTATCTTGGGGGTAATTTGCCTTTTAGAACTCGTTAGCAAACTTTGAGAAGTAAGGGCAAATAAAACCTTAAAGGAAAGTATTCCTATACGCCTCAAACCCTTCTTTCTGAATTCTCTATTCTTTTCATCCTTCCAAATCTGAATTTTATCCAACAATAATATCACTATTTATTGGCTTTGGTAACACGATGGAGTTTGATTTCTTATCTAATTGGATTAATTTTAAAAATTCTCCCTGAATTATAACTCTTATAACACTTTATCCCCTGAATTTTAAAAGACAGCATATGTTCCTCCCGACTTTGTTTCGTTAACAATTTTTTTAATTATGGATTATTTATGGAGGATTGATCTATACGTAGTGACTATATCAAATGGACACTTCACAGTTTAAAAGTAATTTATGTCTATAATTTCGAGTGTGCAATTCTAAGTTTATAGTGGAGTAACTATTAAAATTAATATAATTAATTAAAGTGTTTAATTAATTATTAATTTTATTGAAGCTCAGAATTATAGGTCCATTAGTCCCCGCATCGTCCTAATAATTCTACATGACAAAAGGGGCAAAATGTGAATTTTAAAATTTTAAAATTAAACACTCGAAAATAATTAATTGATAATTAATTATAAATTAAATAATGTGATTATTTAAATTTGAATTTGAATTTTGGATCAATTATGTGAAGGTGTTCACATAGTGTGAACGCAAGGCACAGTGTGAACACATAATGTGAACGCAGAGGGTGAACACACAATGTGAACACACAGTGTGAACACAATTTATATTTATCATTTTAAACTTATTTGATAAGTTGTTCAATTTATAATTCAAACTAATTTAAGTTTGACTTACATTAGAATTTAAATTTTGAGTCAAAATTGAACTACGGGATAAAGGATTATTTTCTCTTCCTTTCCTATCTGTATTTGGCGCCACACAGGGATAAGATCCCAAGAGAGTGGCCGGCCATAATGGATAAAATAGAAGATGAGATTTTATTCCAAATTCAAATAGGAGATAATTAACAAGCTTTGTCTTGGAGATAGAGATTGGATTCATTCTATAAGTTTGACTTCTACTCTATAAATAAGAGAATAATCGAAAATTTGTGTCTCACAATTTTTGACCTATTTTTTTTTTTAATGTGGCCGAAATTCTCTTAGTGTGGGAAGGAAAAATTTTCTCAAAAAATTCTACATCATGCATGCGTTGGTGTTTGTGGAGATTTGAATGTTTATTCTAACCCGTTTTGTCTCAGGTGTGCCCACACATATGTCTTCGTGGATTTTAAGAATTGACGTGGAAGACATTAGTTTTCTAAACACAAAGCTTTGGAGCAAGAATTGTTCGTGGTCAAAGAACTCAAGTTATCATCCTAATCGGCCATCAGGTATAATTCCTAATTGAGTTATTAATAAATAAATAAATGTGATTAATTTATTCATGCATAAATTAATATAATCTATAGAGTATCTCAAAGGTTTTATGAAAATTTTTGTTATACACGATCCGCTACCCTCACGCTTCTGCATCTGAATTTGATTCGGAAACCAACAGATTGGATGACGGAGGTGGAGGTGAACTCACTGGCGGAGTTGAACTAGGTAGTGGTGTTGAACTCATTGGTGGAGTAGAACTAGGTGGAAGTGGTAATGGTGGAGGTGAAATTTTTGTGCAGAGTTATGATTGTACGAAGATGAGAAACAAATGAGGAAAAAAAATAAAAATGGGGAACGAAGATGGTGAATTTTTTCAATAAAATGAAGAATTATATGATAAGGAGGTATAAACGTAATTGTGCTTTCAATTCTCACTAAATAAGTGACACGTGGCAATTTCGTCACTCATTGTAACAGAATGGAAAACTTGTTAACTTAACAAAGTTCGGAGGGAATGAATGTTACCTTTTAAAATTTATGGGGCAAAGTGGTACAAAGGTCATAGTTCAGGAGGAGTTTTTAAAATTAATATTATCTAATTTTAATTTATTTTTTATTGATGCTTACTAAACAAGTCAAACATGTTGATTTTACAAAGTGACGACAAAAATAAATAGTGAGTCTATTATTTGTTTAAGTCCGAGTTGTGTTTGTAATGTTGATTACTTATTGGATTGTTTAATAACTAGCTGTGGCTATGTAATTTAGGATTTTTCAAATGAAATAAATTAAAAATAGCTAATGGTCCTATTTTTAATCTATGCTTTTAGTAATATAATTAATTGGACTTTAGTTGAGTTTGATAAATTACTAAAAACATATTTACCACCACTGAATTAACTATATTTTGATTTAATTAACTTTTAAATTAGATTAAATATGATATACATATAGTTTTTGTGAATAAAATTGATAAGGATCTATAAACAAGAAAGAAGGTCTTATAAACTCCACCTCTGAGATAGGTTGGGTTGTGTTTATGTCTTATTGTACGATCACCTTGTTCTTGCCCTTTTCGTTCTTTTAGACTATGTTTGGTATGAATGAAAAGTGGAAGGAAAGAAAATGTTGGAGGGATTTTATGATGAAAATTAGTAAATTAGCTTGTTTGGTAGAAAGAAAATTGGGAAGGAAAAGAAAATTGAATGCAAATTGTGATTGGTGGGTCCATCCATATTTAATCTCTCCAAAAATGGGAGGATTTTAGGAAGGAAAATGTGAATAACTACCTAAATTACTAAATTGTCATCATTTTTTATTTGGCTCCAAAAGTTGGCTTTTTTTTTTTTTTTGCCAGAAAGAAGAGATAAATGGGCTTTCTCTCTCCACTCAACACACCAGCACACCTTTCATACGGAAAAAACTTCATTCCATGGCTGAAGATTGAATGTAGTTCTATTATTGTTCAAGATTGAAGGTACATGGTCTAAACTTCAATTTTAAAATTAGCTTTGTGAATGAATCTCTCTCTCCCTTGCTTCTTCTTGTTTCATTCTCTCTCTGTTTTTTTTTTTTTTTTTTTTTTACAATTTACTCATCCCAAATTTTTTTTTGCTTGTCTAATATCAACGTTGTACGTTATTTGAGAAGTTCTAGTGATTTTTTTTTAGGGATTGAATTAGCTAAATGGTAATTTGGGAAGCTCTCTAATGGATTCTAATGCTATGGGTTTTGAATTGAATGGTTGTGTGTGATTTCACTGTCTTTTGCCCTAATTGAATACATCACTGCATGTTGTCGTCTTGGCTCCATGACTCTCGTTTTGATTATCGTTTTAGACCCTTGTTGTGCATGCTGATGTTTTGGGCCCCATGTTATGCTGTATGTTTTAGGGGATAAGAAAGATGGAGGAAATTTATTAAGTATTGATATTTTAGGGGATAAGAAAGATGGAGGAAATTGATAAAGCGAAGCTTCTTTTCCAAATAATCATATAGCTGCAACCCTGAGAAATAGATTCAAAGATGGTCGGTATAGTGTAAAGAATAACACGAGAGGTTTTTCTTTTTTTCTTTTTTTTAACTATATATCTTCAATTTTTATCTACATCCCTAAATAAATTTTTCAAGAGGTACATAGTTGAAGCATAAAAATAGAACAATGGAAAATGGGTTGAACGGTAGGAGAGTAGCAAACGAATAAGAAGTAAACTTTGGACTTAATACTTTTGTGGAAAATTTCACTTACTTTACAATAGTAGATGCATAGTATACTAGTCACTTTTTTATTGTATTTGAACCTTCAATAGTTGTTGTATTTAAACTGTAGCTAGCTACTCTTTTGTTGTATTTAAACGTTAAAAAAATTACTGATGCATTAATGCTATATAAGTTAAACTATGTTTTTGTACCTTTATATATGTATGTGTGTGTGTGTATACATAATATAGATGAAATATATGTTAAAGTTACATGAATTTTTCGTGTTAATTTGATGTTGAATAATGTATTATTTATACTTTTATTAGAAAAGAATATTAATAAAAAATATTTGGGTAAAAAAGTAATTACGCAAATAATAATTTTTTCATCTCTTTAGTTTCACTTCCAATACCAAACAAGGGAAGGTAGATTCATTTTCTTTCTTCCCTATCATACCAAACAAGTCAAGGAAACATCAAAATTTTTTCTATCCTTCTAATTTTCTATGCATTATAGTTTTCCTTTCCTTTCTATTTTCTTTCTATCTTACCAAACAAAGCATTAGTCTATGTTTGGAGAGAGTAGAAAAGGAAGAGTAAAGAAGTTAAAGAAAGGATTTTGAAAAGGAAAAAGAAATCTTATGTTGTTTGGTTGAGAGAAAATAAGGAATGAAAGAAGATGTAAATTATGGAAGCCATCATTTTCCAATCTTTCTAACCTAGAAAGAAAAGAAGAGGGCAAAGCAAAACTTTGACAAACAAGTGGGAATTATTATTTTTTTTCAGAAATAATAGATAGTAAAATATTTTGATCCTAATCACTAGTCTTCCTTTTATTTGTGTAGGAAATTATTGTAAAATATACTAAATATAACATTTTATTTTCATTTTTCTGTCTTTTTTACCAAACAACATAAAAGAAAATCCATATCTATATTTCTTTTAGGCTTGGAGATTGGGAAATTGAACTTGTCACCTTATGCTAGAGTCAAATATAAAATTACTGCTAACTACCTGTAACGTCTCAGCCCTCCATAGAGCCCACCTTGTGAGATCCTGACATAGTCGGATATTATACTCGTTACTCATACGTATTGTCTGTTATAAACACCTAGCAGCTCTCAAGAATTTTTTCACGTCTCCCAACATTAGAACTCAAGACTTCCCTCCTCCTTATAAGGTTCTTAAGTCTAGGTCTTAGACCTGTGGTTGTACCTTGACCGTTTTTGGCTTGTTTTAATGAATTTTATCCGGTTGGAGGCCTTGTCTACCAAAAAAAAAAACAAAAAAAAAAACAAAAAAAGGATCTGCTTTGAATTATGTTCTAATACACTACATGCATGTTATTTATATCTATAAATCTGAGTATAACTTCCTCAGTCATTAAATAGGTACAACATATTAGAAATAGGTCTGTTGTAACCTCAGACACGAACCCAGCCAACAAAAGAAAATTACATGCAAATAATAAATGAACCTATTCCACCAATAGGTGCCATATGATTTTCAAATGTCCATCCCAAATTCATATATGGGCCTGGGCCTGATTTAAGAACGAAGAGACCTTCTTCACCAAGGCCTGGGCCTGCTCACATTTTGGGCTAAACAGGTGGAACACATGGTCCACTCCTTCATACTCCACAAGCTCAACAAGCCCAATCCACCCACTCTTCTTCAACGCCTCGTAGTAAGCCAAGGCTCTGTCCTTTAAGAAATCCTTCTCCGCCACAAAAATCAACACTCTACCACACCCAAGCCTAGATAAATCCGGGTCAAATCCAGGATTCACTCTCGGGTCATTCGGCACGCTTCTAGAAGGAAATATAATCTCCAACAGCCTGTTTGGCTTGTCGTTGCCGAAAAACGGGTGGACCAACACCAGGCCGGCAATTCTCGGCCCATTGAGACCATCAACCCCGGCCCGGAGAACGACGTAATGGGCAATATTCGCACCGGCACTATCCCCGCCCACGAAGACTCTGTCGAAATCCGCGTGCTGATTCAGCCACGGTTCTGGGCCGCCTCCGCCGCCGGAGTGGACCACGGCCCACTGGAGCGCCTCCCACGCGTCGTCGTAGGCGATCGGGAGCGGGTGCTCGGGGGCTCTCCGGTAGTGTACGGACAAAACGATGGCGTTGGATTCGGCGGCGAGAGAGGATGCGTGGCCGGTGTAGGTGGGGGAGAAGGGCGTCCCGACGCAGAAAGCGCCGCCGTGGAGGTAGACCAGGAGGGGTAGTTTTCGGGTCGGGTCGGGTATTTGGTGGATGAATAATCTGGCGGATAGTCCGGATTCGGGAGAGATTACGACGTCTTTGGAACGGGCGGCGGTGGCAGAATCCGGCGACGGCGGGACGATCTCATCGCCGAAGAAGCGGTCGATTCGGCCGTCTTTGTAGATGCGGAAGAAGGGGAACTCGATCGCCACCTCGTCTGATCTCTGTTCCATTTGTTTGTCGGCTGAAGAGAGAATGGATTTCTGTGATAAGGAGATTGTGGTTTCTCAGAGTTGGTTTGATTGTTGGATAATAAGTCAATGAGATTTTTTTTTTTTAGAAGAAAGTATTAAAGGTGAGATTTGTGTGGAGATGCGTTGAGATGTGCGGCCCATACTCCCAACTGTAAAATCGGCGGCAATTATCAAACATGTATAAGGAATGAAAGCTCTGTTTTTGTTTTTTGTTTTTTTTTTGCTTTAGTTAAATTGATGGCATGTGTATTTATTAGGATTGAAAAATGAGAGTGAGAAATAAGAGTTAATTTTATGTTTATTTTTTCATTTTTATTTTAGAATAGAAGTGAGATTGGTACTTAAATTTAAAATTAAAGAATAAGATTGAGATGTTTTCTTATTTTATTTATAAATATATAATTAAAAATAAAATTTAAAAAATAATAAATATAACATATATTTATTATTTTATTTATCTAATATTATAATATTAGCATAATTATTATTAAGCAAGTTATTTTTTACTTTCTTGCTAAGCAAGTTCTTTTTTACTTTCTACCCAAAAAAAAAATCTTTTTCATTTGTTTGTTGTTCTAAAAGTAAAGTTGCTAATTTGTTAAAAAAAAAAAAAAAAAAAAACCAAAAGAGTATTTTCCGGGGGGGTGGGCCGGGGG